AAAAAAAAAAAAAATCAGAAAAAGCTACCAAGAAGGCTCAATATCCCCTAATTACTGTCACATTATAAATGGCTGAAAGAACAACATCTGGATTAAAAATATGGCAAGATTTGACTTGTCTGCTTACATTTACTGGGAAAACTACTGACAGAATACCTCTAACATAGCCAGTATTCAGTGAAGTAATGACTGAATAATAGAATTCAAAAGGCAAATCAAGTAAAAGCAAGTGTCAGCAGGCATTAGTACTGCTGTAGCAAGGGACACTCAATTCTCCTCTACCCCAATTCTTTACTTTGTGACTAGACATCTTTTTGAGAAGACAATTTTCACTGAAGAGCATCAGAAACAACACAGAGATCAGCTTCAGTGCTACAGCCAGGGTAACACAGGCACTTGCACCAGTCACTGTATAGGACTTTTAAAGCTAAAAGCAGCTTCATGGAGCCTGGTGAAGTAACAAAATATCTGGTATGTCTATGATGTCTGTCCCAGTGCCACATTCTCCAGCCACGGCCAGGTCAGTCCTGTGCACAAGACAGAGCTGGCTGTACTCTGTCCTAGCTAAAACCATCTGCTGTGAAGGATATAAGGCAGCACTTTCCGTGAGGGTGTTCCAGACAATGGGCAGGATCTGCTGCATGGAGGACACCATGTGCTTCGGGTAGTTCTTCACCAGTGCTGTCACAGCCTGGACAAAAGAGAACATCCATCAGAAGGGAAACGGGAGAAAAACCATCAGCACTCAAGTCACAGGCTGGTGTTTCATTAACAGCTGAGGTAAGGCAAGGACCTCCTGCCACCCAGGTCTCCTCCCTCCCTCCTGACCAGGGAGTCCCTGGAACCCTGACAAAGGCCTCTCACTGCACTGGTTCTTCTGCAGGGAAGCAAAGGGGTGGCACGAGCTGTATCGCTCTGGAAATGAAGACAAGGCAATGATGTGGTGTTAAGGTGCAGATTCCATCCCAAAGCACATCACTGCACAACACTGTTGGATGCTGTTACCACCTGGAAGCTACTCTGGCCCAGAAAATGAACTGTAGTATCAAGTAGAACCAGGTCACAGCCTATTTCCCACACTTCTACACGTTCAACACGTGCATTCACACATCTGGGGAAGAGCTGCACACCAAAACACACCCAGATGATTCTCTCACCCATTTCAGCTGCAGACACAGGCAGCTATGTGCTGGCTGGGAACAGCTCAGCAGCTCTCCAGCAGATTGTGCCTGGGGCTTCCTGAAGCTGACCACCCTGAGTTAGGGGAGCCCTTTCACTGACTCTTGCCAGAAAGCCTCTGGGATGCTCCAGAAGACAGAGAACACCCACTCCACCTCACAGACACTGCCTCCTGCATGGGCACTGCTCCAGTTACTTTATACTTGATACAGAGAGCTTCTGAAACCCCCTGACTGGCAGCCACTATGGGACATAGGGGTATCAGTTTGTTTCTGCTTACCAAATACTTTACACTTTGCCCAGTTTTTTATTTTTTTGTTTGTAGCATTAGGTACATTAAAAGAAATAAAAAAATTAATAATCTTCCAGAACAGCATTCTAATATCTGCATGTGTCAAGAGTGGGCAGCTAGAGATAACCCAGATACATACACTTGAGAATGAGCTTTGGGGGTGATAGAAGCATTACAGAAAAAAACAAAAAACAGCCTCTGGGAAAAAAAAAAAACAAGTTTATGCAGGTGCTGCAGAGGATCTGAACCTGATCAGCAGGACAGCTGTAAACTCAATGCTCTATTGCTAGAGTAGCATCTAAAGAGACTTGTTCCATATGCCACTGCTTATGAACCCCATGCAAGTGTTTCCAAGCTTTAGGCCAAGACAATCCTGCAGGAAGCTCTGCTGGAGTGGGAAGAGTTCTTCTACTCACCACCTCTGCAGCTCTAACAATAAGAGGCTGCATTAGCAAGTTCACCACCTTCCCATGGTGCATGTCATCAAAAAAGGAGCACTCTCTCCTGTCAAATGTATTGCAACCCCTGGCCCCTCATTCTGCCAATTCCCACTGCTTATTTGAACTGAAAGAACTGCTTCACAGATCAACTCCACCTCCCCTCTGCCAAACACCACGCATTGCTCCACCACCTACTAAATCCTCCAAGAAAATCCTTATCCACCTCTCTTTCCAAGTCAAGCTGCTCACCAAGCAGGGTGTTGAATGGCCACACCAGGCAGCAACTGGCTGCACCCACAGCTGTAGCTGAGTCACCCACCAGACACACCAAAATCACCACTCAGGGAGCAACAGGACGACTCCCGAAACCCTTCCAGCTATTCCACAAGCACACACCCCACTGCATCTCCACTAACTGCTCAGCATCTCCCTCAAGTCATTCTGTATTAAAGCTTAACTTCCTGCTTGTGTCTTACTGAAGTGTTGGGGTTAAGCCCCCAGCCCTGAATGAGTTGCCATAGGGATGATGTCCAAAACCAGGCAAGAAAGACCCCCCTGACTGGTTGTCACCCAGGCTCTGGCCAGCCTTGGGTAGGAACTGATGATCCCCACCAGGTGCCCCCACCTTCCACATGAGCTTGGAGATGGGGCCAGAAGCCACCTATAGAAGAGCTGACTGCTGGCAGTGGGGTTGGGAGGCTGCCTACACAGGGCACGTGCTGTGTGGGGATCTGGGCTGTCGAAAGGGCTCCCCGACTCTTCACAGCAAGCAGAGCTCCCAGTAAGGGTGGGACAAGATGGAGACAGGAAGGGAATTATGAAGCTTTCTCCTGGCAATTACTATATGATCAGGATTGGACTGACGGCCTGGGTCTTTCCTTCCCCCATGGCCTGGTACTGGAACCCACCCACTCCCTTCTTTGCTGGTTACGTGTCATGAGTGAATCCATTGGTCTCTTCATCCCTCCAGTGGTGGGCAACCTGGGATCTCCTGCATATGATCTAAGACCACAGGGAGGGATCTGGCTCATGTGTTGCCCATTAATGATAATATCCTTCCTAGTCAGGCAAGCAGTCAGCAGAAGGCTTGCAGAGAAGAAATCCCCAAATCTGTGGATAAAAAGCTTAAAACAGCTGCTAGCCAGCAGGAGGGGAGCACACTGCAGCTGAGCAGTGAGGAAGGGTGCAGCAGGTGCAGGTTGGCTGCTTCAAACTCAGGGACTTTGCCCCAGGACATGGCTACCACCTCGTCTTCCACTCAAGAACAAAGAGGTTATGATTATGTTTTATAACTAATTATTTGCTCCAATAGCAGGAAAAGAGGCAAGCATCACTTCTCTGACCCACCTGATACACAGGTGTCAAAGGAACAGATCTGAAGCATAAGTGAAGAGGCACCAGTGCAAGGCTGTTAGATCCTTTAGGCTGTTGGTTAATTGGTGCTCTTGATACAATCACTGCAGAGCAAGCTGACCTGGTTTGGACTGGAACAGAACTAATTCTGTTCAGTGATTTGACTTCTCAGCTAAGTGGCTGCACTGTCTGAAGTTAACAGCAGATTTTCACAGCCAGTCTCTGCTCCTGGCAGTGCCCAAGCTCCATGGCCAGAGCTCCCCCAAGGGCTAGGCTGTGCAGGAAGGCCCCATGCCAACACAAGTCACTGCAGAATCTTGTGTGCCACACTGGGGTGCAGAAAGTAAAAGGTCCTGTGAGGACAGGAGAAGTGACCCTAAACTGAACAGTGAGGGATCCCATCCCATGTGTGGCATATTCCCTGTAAAGCTGAGAGATCACCAGGATCAGGCCATCAATGGCTGGTGTCTGAGCAGGGCTCTGTCTGTTCTGCCTTCGATCCCAGTCCCTGTGCTCCTGAATCCCACCCCATCTGCTGCTGAGCCCAACCTTGGGACTCCCCAGTGCCTGCTCCACAGCATCACTGGTGAAAAGTAAAAAGTCCTATGGGGACAGGGGGACACGAGAAGTGACCATCCCATGTGTGGCATATTCCCTGTAAAGCTGAGAGATCACCAGGATCAAGCCATCAATGGCTGGAGTCTGAGCAGGGCTCTGTCTGTTCTGCCTTCGATCCCAGTCCCTGTGTTCCTCAATCCCACCCCATCTGCTGCTGAGCCCAACCTTGGGACTCCCCAGTGCCTGCTCCACAGCATCACTGGTGATGGTGATTTCACTGCCATCCAGGGGTTTGGTTCAATACTGCTTTTGTATATATTCATGTATATTCCATTTCATTATTATTTTAATCAAAGCTGGGTTAGTTTTCTAATCCTCAGGTTTCTCTCCTTTAGTCTCTTTCTTATCCCCGTCTGGGAAGGGAGAGGGATTAATAGAGAGCATCTGTCACTCATCTAGTGGTCAGCCCAGCTCTAAAACTTGGCATAAGGATATCATTATTTGTATTCCCTTGGTATGAAATTTGCATTCCCTTGGTATGAAATTTGCCTTAATTCTGTTACCTGTCATGTTTAATCACTCTGTTTCTCTCAAAACCATCAAAGCTGCATGCTCAACCACACTGGAATTGAGATTCAAGAATTGTTTAGTTGCAATTCACTCAGAGATATCAATTTAATTAATGCTAAACTATCAAACAACAGGACAATAAATTACACTCCTGGTACTTCATTCTAGCTCTCACGGTTGAAAATATTTTTGTTGTGGCCAAACCTCCCATCTCCTCCAAGGGTTAAAGGCACTGACTTTCCTGCTTCTAACCTTGTAACTACACTTGGAAAGATTTGGGACAAATTAACAATCAATGGTTTGCCACGATGTGATCCAACCAATTTACTTTCTCAAACAGGCTAACTGTCCCATCAGAGCAGGCAGATTAAAGCTTTCCACCCTGTCCTGCACAACATTCTTACATGGAAAGCAAGACATTTTAGGTCAGGGCTACCTCTGATTTCCACCAAGAACGCCACAAACCTTGGACTACAAAGTTCTCATGGGACAGGGAAGAGAAAAAAAAAAAAATCACCTTCCTGTCTTTGCTGCACATTGCATTTCATTAAGGAAAAGAAGATAGGATTGAGTGTGCATCTGGTTGAAAATGTACTATAAAAAGCCTCAGTTCCCTCCTCCATTGCAGCAGCATTTCAAGGGCTTCCTCTCATGATCTCATCTGTAGAGCTGGCTTAACTGATCCCTTGAGGTCTCTTGCTTCTGCATTACAATGGCTACAAAATCCACTTTTCTGGAAGGGAAGGCAATTTACGGGTCTTTCACCTGAATCCATTTTCCCTTAAGAAAATTGGTATCATCAGCTTAGAAGCCCTAAGTGACAAAATCATTAACTGCCCTGAGTCAAGAGCCAGGATACTCATCTCATCACAAAAAGCCTCCTACAAACCACTTGTCAACAGCAGATCTCCTGAGTTTACTGTTTAAATCCACACTGATTTTCTGCTGCCATCAGTGCCACCCAACATACAATGGTGTATCCAGACTGAAATCCTCTCTTGCATTGCACCTACCCAGCAGCATCCAGGTGCCCACACACAATTAAGGAAAAGAGCAAGAACATCATGACATTTCCTCAGATACTTTCCCAGCCTGCCACATCTTTCAAGAGACTACTGCTGGGTATCAGTGGAGATATTAAAGTACAGATGTCTTCAATTCCAGGCAGCATTGTTACATAAATAGCAAAAGAGACTGCAGAATGCACGAATGTCACAAGAAGAGAAGAGCTGGTCTGTGGTTAGAGACTATCAATTACAACTGCTTTCTGTGTAGGCTGGAAACTACTTCTACTCATTAAACATCCAAATGCATGTATCAGAGACTCAGACGTGCCTGAGCTGCAGCCTGTTCAAACTGAGATCACACCCTGCAGAGTACCCCCTTCATGTCAGTGTTCTGTACATCCCCATCCCAGTGCACAGCCAATGGAAAACAAAAGACCTGCAAGAGACACTCTCTCAACAAAGCCTGCCAACATCCCACCCTAAACCCTGTTCCACTTGGTGCTGCACAGGAAGAAATCAGCTCCTGCTGTTTCCAGAGCCCAGCACCTGCAGGCTACAGCACCTGACTGAGGGGGGTGGGGATGCCACAACCCCGGTGCCGCCGGCTCTACCCGGGCTACCAGAACAAGTCCCACGACACAGAACTTGTATAACACTCTAACAGCCTCCCCCCTTTATTTTCATGGCTCCAGTGCAAAGCTGGTCATTATGAAAACCCTGTGGTGCTTGTCTTCAATAACTTCCTTAGTGTCTTCTTCAGGGAACGTGGCTGCACGCACCTCAGTCGTCCATCTCCAGAAACCTCAACACTGCCAGCCAAGTCTTGCTTACCCCAGCACACGTGCAAGTAAATGAAAGATCTGGATTTGATTCTGCAGTTTAGGTGTTTGAGCTCCTCTTCCTCTCCTCTTCCTCGGGTTGCAGGTAGCACACCCTAGGACTCCAGCACTTTCCCTGCTGCTGAAGGGATCTCAGACCTACCCCAGGACTCTTGTCCCCACGCTCACACAGCTCTGCAATCCAATCTTCTTTCACCAGGAAACCAGTAGACTTCCCACCTCTCTTTTGCAGAGATAATTTAGCATTCAAGAGCAGGCAGGTTACAGAAAAGCACCTGCACATAATAAGCTTTTAAAACTTCAATGCAGCAGAATTCTGATATCTAACTACCGAGTGTGGAGTCTGAACAAGATGCATACAAGATGTTTTAGATCAGCAAATGACAAGGACAGATCATCCTACAGAGGGACCCCTGTGGATCCTTTTGTGGACAGATTGATGTGGATTTCATCACAGATAGCTTCAACACAGGCAGAACAAATTATTTCAATGTTGTATGGCACTGGGAGCCAAAAAGCTTCACTACTCCTAACACAAGCAGTACTAGGAGAGGTGACAGGCACTCGAGTTTCTCTGTTTTCCAGCACACCTGACAGTGTACTGCTATTCAATCCTTTATTTAATCTGTCTTAAGTGACTTACCTTTAACACTTCCATCTTAAAGCCACTGTCTGATGTAGGTCCATCGGGCATCTGCAGGGCCTGAACAAAGGCCTCTGTGAACTGCTGCACCATGGGAAAAATCAGGACTTTGGCTGCACCCTGGTTACAACCAACACAAGCACAGGTCAGTATCAGACACAGAACCCCCACATCTGACAAGTAAAGCACTACAAGAAATGGAAATTGGACTTTTCTGCTACAAAACCAAAAGACTCGTGGCAACTGCAGAACATTTCAAAGTCACATGAAATACTTGTTTCAGATGTCACTTTGGCTCCCTCCTCATGCTGGGAACTAAGCTCAGCTCCCTCCCACCCCTCAAAACCACCCAGCACAGACTGGCACACAACACACCCCTACATCCAAGCTAATCACTTCAGACTCCAGAGATCAGACAAGCCAGTCTGGAGAGTCTCTGAAGCAGCAACACATCCTCCTGAAGAGGCACTTCCATCAGATCAGATGAACCACACCCTGCACCCTGCCACTCGGACCCCCCAGGCTACAGAAGAAGCCTGAGGTGGCCACATGACACACCAGTGAGCACAGTGAGCCCTGCTGATGGCACTGGTCTCCCTCCTGAGCCACCCTCCCCAAGCTCCTTGGGAGGTGGTTCTCCACAGCTGGCCTGAAGATCACCACGATGATTCTTCCTAGGAAAATGCAGCAAGTGTTTTTCCAGATGTCAAAACACTCCATAAGTAGTGCTTGGCAGAGCAAGTAATATCAGACAAAAATAACTTCATTGAGAATATTCCTCCTAACTCCACACCTAAACCAGCAAAGCTGTGCTTAAATCCACCAGGAAACAGCACCTTAGCAATTAAAAAAAAAAAAAAGGCAATCTTATTTTAAGTCTGATTTCAGTAGAAAAAGTTTTGTATACTATGTAAAAGACACTTTCAGCCCTCCTCAAGAATAAGAAAGTGAGGAGCCACCACTATCTTTTGGATACTGGCACCAGCTTTGTGACACACTGCATAAGTAACCCTGTCAGGGCATTACCAGAACGTCCCAGGAGTCTGCCCTGAACTGCTGCCTGTGCAAACAGGAAGGAAAGGGCAGATACAGCCACTGAACAACAACCAGCCACGACCCTGGGAGCCACCCTATCTTCAGCCTTTAAAGAGTTAAAAAGAGTAATTTGTCTGGGGAATGATAGGAAACCCACTTGCCAAAGGCCATAGAAAATACAGATGTGCTCAGGCCCAGGGCACTCGTGTAGAAAGCTGTTCAACTGCACAGGGTTTTTTTTCTGAACATCTCTTCTTCTAAAATTTTGCTTGCTTTGGTTTGGTTTCCACCACCCATTCAGGAACAGAAGGCTGACATGTGACTGATGGAACTCCAGGAGCTTGTAAGCCCTGCCTCACCCAAGGACCAAAGCTGCCCATGGTATCCCAGCTACCCAAGGCCTGGGATGGCATCAGGACACCCAGTTCACCTGGAGACTGGAAGCTGTGACAGGGACTTCTTACCAAAGGGATGATGTACTCTCTCCTTTCTCTGAGCTATTACAAGCATGTCTGTTGGTATGTCACCAGTTAATTATGGAAACCAAGTGACAGAATCAAGGCATGCATGCAAAGGAGGGAGTCAGCCCCTGACCACGTGTTAAATGACAGCCTCGTCCCCAGAATTACAGCTGCCAGAGCACAGAACTCTCCAACCTCTCATCTTCATATTAACCTCTGTTTTCACAGAATCTTGCTCAGTTTGAATTGGGTGTATGTTGTAAGTTAAACTCTTGCCTTTTCCAGTTCCTCCATGTTACAGATCATATGTGCACACGTGGTGAATATCTCCACTGCACGTGACCTCGTGCGAATGCCGTACACCTGGAAAAAAGGTCAAACAGTACATCAGGAAGGAGGCACTTATTGCCTTTCATTTTCTTTGCATTTTATTTATATCTTCCTTGAACTTGATTCTCTCACTTTATCATTGGTATCAATATTTCTGTTGGAACACTAGCTGCCATCAACTATCACATCATCAAGGAAATTCTTTAAGTCTAACTCTTACTACAGTAAAACTTAAGCACTAAATCTGGAGCTTCTCTGCTCCAAGAAACATTCCCACTAATGCCATTCAGTACCAGCTCCATAGTGAAGATCATACCTCTGCCATTGTGAAAATTTTGTACATCTCTGGAAGAATAACAGGAGCAACAAGTGGCATCTGTGTGTCTGTCACTTCCCGTGTGAATTCTAAAAAATGGAAAAAGAAGGGAAGTTGTTATAAGAAAATAAATTTGCAGGCAATGGCAACAACAGAAGCTTTAGGAGGCACTAAGCACACTGGAAACAGGTCAACTTGTACTTTATTAGATCCATGTCATCTGGCCTATCCACAGCAATCCTGGAAGGCCAGGGGCAAAATATCCTGCTAAAAACTGTGGTGATCAGGAAAACAGGGAATTACAACCAAAGTTCCTTCTGAGCTACAACCTGTAGCACAGAACCTTCCTCCTCAGCTTTCATCACATCTGCTGAGTATGCAACCCAGCAGTG